CGAAGTTCATCGTACTTGACTGTATCGAAGGCCTTCGTTAAGTCAATCACTTTGGTGAGGAGTTTGGTTCTCATCTCGTGGAGGGTTGCAAAGATCACATCAGTAGGTCAACAGCTTCGGCGAAATCCATACTGCCTTTCTGGAAGAAGTCGCTGCTCCAAGTGCGTGTGCAGACGGTTAGCGAGAACACAAGCAAAGATTTCGCCTGCAGCGTTTGGTAGCGAGATGGATCGGTGGTTGTCACAGTGTTGTCGGTTTCCAAGGTGCATGCATATATGAGCGACGCTGACGTACTTGCAGTCTCCCGTCCTGACCAAAGGCGGCGTCTAGTAACGAAGAAGGTAGTGTTCACGGCCAACGGTAAGGAAAGTGAACACGGCGTCTACTGCGTGCGATACAGAGGGGAGGAACATACGAGGAGGGGTAGGAGGAGGCTACAGTTAGAAGCATAGAACGCACCGCGGGGGGCAGTGAATTGACGGCATGTAGGGACAAAGGGTGTGGGAAGGAAATAGACAGAAGGCAGCATAAAGGGAGATGCAGAGGGATAATGGGAAGAGCGGACATCCACAAATTGCTATGTTGCTGACGTTTCGGAGAATTTGGTCAACTCGCCATTGACAAAGCATTTAGCACCGAAAACTGACAGAATTTTAAAAGACTGTCCGATCTCCTTCGTCTTGAACTGATCTTTTTTTTCTTTTGCCGCCTCGGCCTAAGCGTAATCCGGTCAGTAATCAAGTCTCCAAAGCATATTTTAACAGATTAAAGTAACGAAAGCATAAAAAAATATTAATCAGCTGAGGGTCACCTAGCTTGTCCAGTCATTTAAAAGTCTGGTCGATTTTCGACATTACAGAATTTCACTATGGAGACATGATCATGTACTCCGAAACGTCAAAAACTCTGTTCCGGTGTCTTAAAGCACGGAACGAGACAAGGACGCCCCGTAACGCGATCGGTGTGTGCTCCCTATACCATTGTTATTACACTCGATCGCAACCGATAGGACAGCGCGCCCGTGACTCAAGGGTAAATGCGTGAGAATTCAAACCAACAGAACTTAGGTTTAAGTTTCGGGGGTCACAAAAGCCTGCAGTCCGTTACGCCTGGCTGATAACGGCCAATGAGCGTTGCGGAGAACATGAGACTGAGTGGGGTGAGAGCATGTACGCAGTCTGCTTCACGCCACTGGTCACCGCTCGCGCTTCTGAGGTTGCGCTGTCGTCCGTTAAGCGAGTCATAATCCCATCGCGAAGTTGTCGCACAGTTTGTGTGAAGTGCTTTGGCCATCCAATTTTCGTAATTATCTACCAGAGTCCATCGCCGTTGACTGTGTCAACGGCCTGTCGTTAAATCGGCAAATTTGTGTTGCATGGTTGCCCGCTGCGGGAGTCATAATCCCATCGCGCGGCTGTCAACTTTCTTGACAGATGTGGATGGATTTCTTGTTTAATTGAGGCCTGTGCATCATTGTATTTAATTCACGGCGCGAGGTTACCCAGCCTCATCCCTTAAAATTATCGTACTCTCGTATAGTGTCTACAGCATTATTCCTATACAGAAGAGCAGCTATATCCTGGCGGAGCAGGCCTACACAGCTGCAGTCAACCAACAGCAATTCTGACTGAGAAGCAAGTTCAAGAGTCATTAATCACGAAGTCGAAGGCGTTTTTGACAACCGTAGAATGTGTTTTAGCTGACGGAAACGTAGAAGCGCGCTTTGATGTAAGTTACTAGTCTCATCTTATTTCCTAACTGACTCGGGACCTGGTGGTTAACACGAAAACACAGATGGCATCGTGTCTGTGCTGACGTTGTTGCGGATGGACTATCAGAAGGGAATGGAAGTTGCCTTTTAGCAACATAGTCTTCTGCTTTAAAAGACAACTGCAGTGGTTCAGTATTTCGCATCAAGGCATGTAGTGACATGGCATCTGCATCCTATTAATACTGCATGAACCGTCCGTATCTGCTTTTGTCTCAGATGATGGGTTCGAGCAGGAATCCGAAACGTCAGGCTAATGAAAATCTTGTCCCAGCTATCATGTCTCTTTCTTCAAGACTACTTACTGGAACTCGTCTCTTCGCTTCTATTGGAATGTGGAATTTGTCCACAAGCCCTCTCGTCAGATCTAACAACGGACACGGCTGTCATCGCTTTCGACCTTACGGCATTGCGAGCTGTCTTCCGGTTTTTCCGACGTAGTTGCCTTGTCCACAACTGCACCAGATCTGATAAACGACTCCAGACGTTTCTCGTCGCGGCAGCGGTTTTTCGTTTTCATTACCTGGCGCCTGATGGTTGTCATTGGTCTGTGTCCTATTCCAACTCCAGCTGCTCCTCTCCGTGGGCCTACGTCGGTATTGCGGTGAACCTGAGACTGAGTAGGGTGAGGGCTGGTCTGCTCGACATTGTTCCTGCTTCTTATTGTCAAGGTAACGCACATTCAAACAGTTAATTTCTGCCATCATGACAGTGCTGATTAATTGCAAACGAACGCCTTTTAGCAACATAGTCTTCTGCTTTAAAAGACAACTGCAGTGGTTCAGTATTTCGCATCAAGGCATGTGGTGACATGGCATCTGCATCCTATTAATACTGCAACCCCTCGTGCATGAACCGTCCGTATCTGCTTTTGTCTCAGATGATGGGTTCGAGCAGGAATCCGAAACGTCAAGCTAATGAAAATCTTGTCCCAGCTATCATGTCTCTTTCTTCAAGACTACTTACTGCAACTCGTCTCTTCGCTTCTATTGGTATGTGGAATTTGTCCACAAGCCCTCTCGTCAGATCTAACAACGGACACGGCTGTCATCGCCTTCGACCTCACGACACTGCTAACAGATGAGAATCGAAATGCGCGAATTTGCAAGATGGTATTCCCGTTTAAAAGGCAGCTGCAGCGACTCAATGGTTTGCACCGAGACGGATGTGAAATTGATCCACGGGGCTCACATTTTATGTTGGGAGGCAGGCGTCAGCTGGACGTCGTTGTTTTTGATCAGGGAAAAACCAAATTGATGGGTAAGTATAACATGCTTGAATCTCCACTTCCCCACCCAGCATGCAAATGAGGACGGAAAATACAGTCAAATTTAGAAAGGCTGTGGCATGTGTTTCTTCAAAGGAGCAACGTGATGGCTGACTTAAGACTGTATAGGCAGCCCGCCTGGTGGTGACTGCCGCGGAACTGACTGTCTACCGAAGAACTCGCGGCAAATCTAGCCAGACTGCCGCAGTAATGAGAAAGCGCAGTCCCTCCCTCCACCTCCCATCGTCCTTGGCACTGTTGTCTTGGTCGGTTCTAAGTCAGTTTTTCTTACAGACAGATGAAGTGCACAAAAGAGTAGTCGCATGAGAAAAGTCTGTTTATTCACTGTGAGAAGGTATTCAAACTCATACATTGGAATTATTCACAGTAGTGACAAAGCGGCTCGAGCATTCTTCTCATGCAGAAGGGCTGCTGCATTCTGGTGGAGCGGACCAAAATCGCTGCAATTACCCAACGGCACTTCTGGTTCAACAGCAGGTAAAAGCTCAAAAGTCATTAATCACGACGTCGGAAGTGTTTCTGATACCCGTAGAATGTGTTTTAGCTAATGGTCATGCAAAAGCATGATAACACAACAGATTCACCTCAGCCTCTAACAGACTCCGGAACTCCGGGCCTCACATTCGAGGTTGAGATATGGAGGCTAGCCGTACGTCGATCCCACAGCAGAGGTTTCGGAATGTTCTTTGTGGTGATAGCGAAGCAGACAAATTGATGGTTAAGTATAACGTGCTGGAATCCAGACTCCAGGATTTCCCATGAGGTCAGGTGAAGCTGCAGGGTTAGGTGGATGAGGGTGGTCTGTTTGACATTTTTTTACTTCTTACTGTCAGGGTAACGCACATTCAAACAGCTAATTTCTGCCAGCATGACAGTGCTGATTAATTGCAAACGGACGCGATGGCGTCCATCCCGAAGATCTGAACCCGCACAATACGATCGGTGTGCAACCAAAATGAAAACAGCGGTAAGAATCCGAGGTTCCCCAGTTTATTGTCCATGAGGGTAAATGAGAAGTTGTCCCAAATAACAAATATGACTTAATATTTTGCATTGGCTGGGAGGATATTGGGAAAGGGACTGGGCGTTCAGGCTCTGGAGACTAACGTGACCCGTTGCACAACCAACCACATGCCAAGCTGCCGTAAAATAAGTCAAACCCCAATCGGCTCTCAGTTTTACATTCTCCCTTTCTGCCATCGGCGTGACTATCTTCAGCGAATCGGTGATTAGATTCCCAGTCATAGTGCCCCTGTGCTTCGTGCCTCCACCTGTAGGTCAAACATTCTGTCCAAGGTTTTCCTCGGACGGCGGTTCCCTCATAATTGCTAACGAATCTACGAGCTAGAACATTACCTGACCTGCTGCCATTTCCCCACATCGTTCTATGTGCACTCTACTTGCGTACTCCTGGGCTGCCTAAATCCCAGAAACAGGTTTTTGATCGGGGAGGCGTCGAAGAAACGAGAGATAATCAGAGGAGAAAACTAACTAACCTGACAATAGTATGGAGTACAGAAGTCTTTTTTCTACTTGAACGCCTTCTTTGAAGTCTAGCACGTGGAAAATTCGCTCCAAGTAGAATGTTTTGCTTTTGGGTGTGGGTATGAAATCCGTAATAGGAAGTCACGCAGGTCACGGGGCTTTTCCTAAGTAAAATATGCAACACAGAGTTTCCGCTAAAAAGGTGCGTCTTCTCAGGTACATTCGAATCACCGTAAACAACGTCTAATTTGAATTCAGCATGCGCAGTAACCCCCCACTTCCCCCTCCCCAGTCCGTGTTTTTCCCGATATCAGGGTGCGCGAGAACTTCATCAGCCAATTTTAACACCCGCCCACCACCCACACACTCACTTCTGGCGATGTGCGTGCCCGTTTGAAGATCTGGTGCGTTCTCGTCAGACCACTCATCATAACAGCCGATTTCTGCACACTCCCAAGCATGGCGGTGGGATCAGATTTAGGCGACCACCTACAAGGCTACAGAGAAACCGGATTAACCTCTAAAGTAGACGAGCGCAGGCTGAATCGGGTAATTTTCTTTATTTTCCCTGTTTATGCAAATCATAGTTGATGCTTCAGAGTTGTGCACGCTTCATCATTTCATAATCAGTGCTAACGGCTTTCATAAAGAGGTCAGTGTCTGAGCCATCACGGTTATTTCTATATCGATATTAACAGGGGTAGTAGTAGTATGAATGGCAGCAGAAATGATGGGTAGATTGATGATCTTAGGCGTAATAACATTTGTGGTGTTGGCAGTAGCAGCATTAGTGGCATTTTTTTAAAGTAATAATGATTTTAATGGTTGTAATACTGCTATGAATAGCAGCAGAAATGAGGGGTGTACTTGTGACCTTAATCATAGTAGTACTTATGGTGTCGGCGACAGTAATAGTAACTGAAGCACTAACAAATGTAGCAGTTTCAACGTAGCTGACTACATCAGTAGAGATTTCAGAGCATTCCTGACGTTTTGTATTTTAGGAGCGAGTATCAAATGTGACAGTGGTAGCCGTAGTATCAGCAAATATTTTAAGACTAACCTGACAATAGTATGGAGTACAGAAGTCTTCTTCTACTTTTCAGTTTATTTCAGTTTATTTCATAAGGATGATAAGCAAAGCCTTTGAAAACCCTATTGATTACATGTCAGCTCGTTAGAAATAAATGTACAGTAACAATGAAAATATTCGCCATACAAATAGTACTTGATTCGTTTGAGTATCATTGTCACAGAGAAAAAATATGTGGGGAACCGGGGTATTTAGCTCAGATTCAGACTGTCGAGGGAAAACAGGGGACACAAATAATCATCCGAGCGTTTCTTGAAGAGTTGCAGGGATGTCGCCTCCACGACTGACTGAGGAAGATCGTTCCAGTTCTCCACTACCATTTGCGTGAAAAATTCAGAACGAAGGTTCAGCCTGGACATTGTTGTCCGTAGCTTCATCGAGTGGCCACGAAGATTGTGTGAAAGGTGCCACTGAAACATGCCCTCAAAGCTAAGTCCATCCTCAAGGCCATTTATTATCTTGTAAACCAGGATTAGATCACCTCTTTGAACACCTTCTTTGAAGTCTAGCATGTGGGAAATTCGCTCCAAGTAGAATGTTTTGCTTTTGGGTGTGGGTATGAAATCCGGCCGCATAAACATCTCAAAGCCCGTAATAGAAAGTCACGCAGGTCACGGGGCTTTTCCTAAGTAAAATATACAACGCAGAGTTTCCGCTAAAAAAGGTGCGTCTTCTCAGGTGCATTCGAATCACCGTAAACAACGTCTAATTTGCATTCAGCATGCGTCGTTATCCACCCCCTTCCAACCCCCAGACAATCCCGCGCAAGTCCGTGTTTTTCCCGGTAACAGTATGGAAGGTGCGCGAGAACTCCATCAGCCGATTTTAACACCCACCCACCACACACACACGCACCCCTCTGGCGATGTGCATGCCCGTTTGAAGATCCGGTCCGTTCTCCTCAGACCATCCGTCATAACAGCCGAGTTCTGCACACAACACCCCTAGGGCAAAATAACTCCCAAGCATGGCGGTGGGATTAGAATTAGGTGACCGCTCACGAAACCGTAGAGAAACTAGGCAGACAATAACAGCGGATGTCGAAGTAGGAGAGTGCGGAACCAGTCGGAGGACTTTATTCGCCACGCACGTTTATGAAAATCAAAGTATAACCATAAAATTTATGCTTCAACTTTGTGCAAGCCCTCACCATTCCATAATCAGTGTTTACGGTTTTATAAGGACTTCGGTTTCTGAGCCATTGCATTTATTTCAATATCAATATTAACAGCGGTAGTAGTAGTAATGATAGAAGTTGTATGAATGGCGACAGAAATGACGGGCATATTGATGATCTTAGGTGTAATAACATTTGTGGTGTTGACAGTAGCAACATTAGTGGCATTTTTTACAGTAATAATGATTTTAATGGCTGTAGTACTGCTATGAATAACAGTAGAAATGAGGGGTGCACTTGTGACCTTAATCATAATAGTACTTATGGTGTCGGCGGCAGTAATAGTAGCTGAAGCACTAACAAATGTAGCAGTTGCAACGTCGTTGACGACATCAGTAGAGATGCCAGAACATTCCTGACGCTTTGTATTTTAGAAGCGTCACACAGCCCCCCAGGGGTTTCTTCAAGTAAAATATACAACGCAGAGTTTCCGCTAAAAAAGGTGCGTCTTCTCAGGTGCATTCGAATCACGGTAAACAACGTCTAATTTGCATTCAGCATGCGCCGTTACACTCCCCCCCGTCCCAGTCCGTGCTTTTCCCGGTATAAGTATGTAAGATACGCGAGAACATCATCAGCCGATTTTAACACCCACCCACCCACCACCCACACACTCAACTCTGACGATGTGCATCCCTGCTTGAAGATCCGTTCCGTTCTCCTCAGACCATCCGTCATAACAGCCGAGTTCTGCACACATCAACGGGCTAGGGCTTACACCTAGACTAAGTCAGTTTAAGGCATGGCGGTGGGGTCAGGAGTAGGTGACCACCCAGGAGACAACATAGAAACCGGATTAACGTCTAAAGTAGACGAGCGCAGGCTGAGTCGTGTAGCTTTCTCTATCGTCCCCGTTTATGCAAATCCAATCACATACACAAAGTTCACGTTTCAAATTTGTGCACGCCCTCACCATTTCTAATCAGTGCTTGTGGCTTTTATAAGGAGTTCGGCATCTGAGCCGTTACACTTATTTTTACATCAAGGTCACTGGCGGTGGTAGAAGTAGTAATGGTAGTAGTTGTGGTAGTGGCGGTACAAATGACAGGTATACTGGGGAGAACACCGACCGACAGACGCATGGCGAGAACCCAAGATACGGCTTTGGCCCGATTCTATGGCCTCCCTAAGGTGCACAAAGACGGCGCTCCTCTCTGACCCATCGTGTCGCTCAAAGGGACTCCAACGTACGGACTGTCTAAGTGGCTGTTCCGGCGTCTCAAGTTCCTGACCGCTGAGTCAGACACCACGGTCCCTTCGTCAGCTCAATTTCTGAAGAAACTCAAAGGGGTAAGCCTCCATCCAAAGGAAGTCATGGTATCTTTTGATGTTACATCCCTTTTTACTTCTATTCCCCATGACCTGGAGATCGAGACAATTGAGCCGCTACTACAAAGCAAATATGATGCAACGGAGAACCGTCTTGGACACGCCCAACTCCTTCAGCTCCTTCAGCTCTGTCTCAGGACGTACTTCACGTTCGACGGGTCAATCTACGAACAGGTGAGGAGCACACCAATGGGTTCGCCGATTTGGGGACTCATGGCCGAGGCGGTCCTGCAACGGTTAGAATCGCTGGTCTTCCAACACCACAGACCGAAATTCTGGGCCCGGTATGTGGATGATACCTTCGTCGTCATCGAACGGGATCAGGTGTTGACATTCCAAGAACATCTAAACGCCGTTTTCCCGAACATTCAATTTATGACGGAGGAGGAAGATAACAACCAGCTGGCCTTCCTGGATGTCCTCGTATGCCGTAAAGATTGTGGTGAACTAAAAACCAAAGTGTTCAGGAAAGCGACAAATACGATGCAAGTACTGAACATCAACAGTAACCACCCAATCAGCCACAAATTCAGTTGTGTAAGGACGCTCTATCAGCGTGTCGAAACGCACTGCAGTGAGCCGGAAGACAAAATTGCTGAACTACAATACCTCCGACGGGTCTTCAAAGCCAATGGCTACCCGCGCAACTTCGTCGACCGGTGCATACGCAAAAGGGTCGAAAGGCCTAACCGCACGGACACCAAATTTTGACGGGCACTTCCGTATGTCAAGAACGTTTCGGAAGCTGTCGGTCGCCTTCTCGCACCACGTGGGGTTGGAGTGGAACACAGACCAGAGTCAACCATCAGGCGCCAGGTGATGAAACCGAAAGACCAGCTGCCACGGCTAGAAACGTCTGGAGTTGTTTATCGGTTTTGGTGTAGTTGCGGACAAAGCAACCACGTCGGAGAAACCGGAAGACAGCTCCGAACGAGAATGGCCGAACACGCGGCAGCGGTGCGCAGAAATGACGCCAGCTCTCAAGTTGCGGCTCATTCGACAAGATCCGGCCACACATTTAAATTCGATGAGGCCGAAATTCTCGCAAGAGGTGACAACCGAGTGAGCCGGGAGCTACTGGAATCATGGTTTACTTGCCCCCAGTCCATCAACAAGTGCAATGAACGTTCCCTTTCATACTCAGTGCTGAGACTTCGCCTAGGCGGAGTAATTAGTCCCGCGGGAAGCGCACAGGTAAACACTTTTCCCAACGCCAGGGTCGGTGGAGCAGATGGTCGAGCAATAATCACACTAACATCCAACGCACGTGATGCAATAACAGCAATTATCGACTCAAATGTCGGCCATCAAGCAATGATCACACCAAGTGCGACGATCCCGGATGAAGGGGGGAGAGCCGTGAATGTTCATAGGTATGCGGTAGCATGGCTACTGCATCCTATAAATACCGCAGCCCCTTGTGCAACAACCACCCGTTTCTGCTTTTTTGTCTCTGATGGTGGATTGGAGTAGGAATCCGAAACGTCAGGCTAATAAAGCTCTTGTCCCCGCGATCGTGTCTTCTTCTTCTTCTTCTTTTTCTTCAAGTCTTTGTGCTGTCGACAGTCATTGGGCTGTGTTTTCTGCTCTCCTCGCAGATTAAAGCCCTAAACACTCGTGAAGAAGGAGACGCGATTGCTGGGACAAGAGGGGAAGAGAGAGCGAGAGAGAGGAATTCTGAAGACCACATTTTCAAACCCGCGGGAATGAACAAGAGAATCATGATTTGAGTTCAAACTAAAGTGTGCGCCGGTTGCTTGCTACGTGGGGCCACTGGTGAGATTTGGGTGCCACCAAATGGACGCTAGGCGTAGTCTCACCTGCAAGCAAGTGAACGACCACTACGACAATTACGTGAACCCACCGCTGGACACCCCTACACCCCCCCTCACACACACACGATAGTTCGACCGTCGATTTCGACGATGCCCACCGTGTGCCCCACAGCTGCAGCAGCGGTTGGAGCAGGGACGGTGACTTGCGCAGGGGTTTATAGTGCCGGTAGACTTGCCCTGCATCTTCCTACACTCTCCCCTCATCCCCCGCCTGAGCCCGGTGTCAAGACAGAGTCAAGATCACCGAAGACGAGGGAGGTCGCAGGTGGATGGCTCGGACGGATCTTCGCCTTGGCGCTCCCCTCCGCACCCCCTGGTACACCCAACAAATAACCACGATTTCAACCAACACAACAGATATTGGAGGCTGGCACGGTCGAAGCCGCGCCTAGGCGTATCGCCGACGCCTGGCTCGGATCCCACACTGTGGTGGGAGTGCCATAAAGACCACATTAAAAAGGGGCCATTGCAGCCTGACTCTCAGACCTCCAGTCAAGGAGGAGGTCCAAGTTATCCCGTCAGTTGGCAACCTTCCAAGCCACGGCTTTTAGTGCGCCGTGATAGCTTCAAGCGCGTCAGATTGATTATAGTGAGGAGCAAGTGCGCTGAGTCGTCGACCTCACTCTCCCTTCCCACTCCCACACTCCAGCCGCCGTCCGGGCCGGTCGGCAAACTGGAGTGGGGAATGGGCGCGGTGGCTGACATGGTCGACTGACCATGCCTGCGCGCGCCACAGCACGACCTGGCCCCCCATACACACACACATTAGGATTTCACATAACGGGGGTTGAACGGCGGGTCTCTCACTTGCGTGAGAGACGTGGCCGTGGCTGGGGTCCGGGAATGGGAAGAGATAGTGAAATCGACGTATCAGAGCCTTTTCCTCACTACAAACAATCTGACCCGCTTCAAGCTATCACGGTGCGCTAAAAGCCGTGGCGTGGAAGGTTGCAAACTGATGGGATAACATGGACCTCGCAGTCGGCCCAGTGTTGTGTGTGTCTGCGTGGAGTGGCCGACCGGTGGTCTAGGAGTCAGGCTGCAATGACTCCTTCTTAATGTGACCCTATTGCACTCCCTCTGTGTGGGATCCGAGTCGGGTGTGGCGGCACGCCTAGGTGCGGCCTCGGCTGTGCCAGCCACTTGCGACCTCTCCCACCCCCGGTTTTCTTGGTTCTGTCTTGACACCGGGCTCAGGTGTGGGAGGAGGAGAGAGCGCGGCACGAAATCACACAGATCTGCTGATCTGACTTTCAAAAGTGGACACAACTCTTGGTTCATTTAAAAATAACCAGAGTGTCAGGAGACTAGTTCCCACGGTTAGTGTCAAATGAAAAAAAAACAATATTCGAGTGCGGTAAGTTCTGTTTTTTTAAAATCCTTGAGAGCTAGTTACCATTCTGTCAAAGAACACGCTCCGATGCCCAGCCGAAGTCTACGACAGGTATAAGCATAGGAAATTGCCTGAATATATGGCAACGTCCATCTTTGTTCAAATTTATGAACATTTTACTTGAGAAAATTACGCGGACACATGTTCTGTACAAAGGTCTCTTCTTTGAAGAGGCCGAACGAGCGAGCAAAAGGCGCAACGTTTATGATGTCCGGAAATTCTGTTGTTAGGTTTCATGAGATAGATCACGTGCTGTCGATTAGTCTATCAGTTGTAAAAAACGTGGCTGCGCCTCTCTCAACCCCTTCGGTCAGACGCATTCCGCGAAGGTTCATTATCGGTCCTCCGTAATCTACAGTAGTCCCGTCTCGTCCATCTGGGATCTATGTGTAGGGCATTTTACCGAGTAGGAACCATCCTGAGCCCTAGATGACCTCGTATACCTCCTCAAAAATCCCTAAACTGCGCAGTTAGGGAGTCCAAACGTCAGCCATTTGCGTCGCCGTATTTCCAGCTTCCCTTACCACATCCTTTTATTCAATTAACAGGCTGTTAGAATAAGTATTCCTGTGGTGACCAAGGCGGAGACAGTGTGTGTTCTGTGAGCTACAAGTACCAAGTCAAATCTCATGTTGTGAGGAGAAGACGGAAAGCATCTGAATGAGGGGTTTAATATAAACATAACCCGGAGTTGTCATCTCAGGCAGCAGTGGCCACTGGCGAAGCCAGGGCTGGGGTTGACTGCGTCCAGTCAAACCTGAGATTCTCTGGGACAGTGGTGACAGCCGCTTTTGTAGGCTCGTGGGCCCCAAGATCAAGTGGTCTCCAATCGGTGTGTGTGCTGCATTTTTCGAGGTGTGGTGTCCATGTGGCTTGTTTTACTGGTTGCAGGGCGGAGGTGCGTTCAAGTGGCACATGGGTGGCCGCGACGCTGTGGGGACGCAGTTGTGTTCGAGCTGAAGTCGATCGTGTGGCTTCAGATCAGCGCGTCTGGAGCGGTTCACAACAAATGGGTGGATGACCTTGAAGCAGCGGGTCTTGAACAATGACGCCAGATCGGTCATGATGGCTGCTCGCTACATTCCCACTCAGCCTCAGTAACCGCGTCGATTTTCAGCTTCGGCGGAACAACACTCCGTAACCATTATACTATCGTTCATACTACTAGAACTATGATTACGAGCGTCGCATCGAGTATCGTAAAGCTATCACCAATGTCAGTATCCATAACCCTGATGGTAATCATACTAATAGAATGATAACGCTAGTTATGATGCCACGACACCTACTTTTATTAATTCTAGTGGAAGTTCTTTCACCACAACCAATAAAATGCAGGCAATGGTATTTATACCTTATAGCTATGGTATCAATTTAATTTATGCTATCTCCGTCACTGCCGATACTCCCAATAGTACACTGTCTTACTTAGTCTTAAAATGCTTGCTGATACTACGGCTACCACTGTCACATTTGATACTCACTTCTAAAATACAAAGCGTCAGGAATGCTTTGGCATCTCTACTGATTTCGTCAACGGCGTTGCAACTGCTACATTTGTTAGTACTTCAGTTACTATTACTGTCGCCGACGCCATAAGTACTATTGTGAATAAGGTCACAAGTACACCCCTCATTTCTGCTGCTATTTATAGCAGTACTACAGCCATTAAAATCATTATTACTGTAAAAAATGCCACTAATGTTGCTATTGTCAACACCACAAATATTATTACACCTACGATCATCAATATACCCATCATTTCTGCCGCCATTCATACTACTACTACTACTACTACTACTACTACTACTACTACTACTACTACTACTACTACTACCGCTGTTAATATTGATATTGAAATAAATGCAATGGCTCAGAAAGCGAAGTTCTTATAAAACCGTAAACACTGATTATGGAATGGTGAGGGCTTGCACAAAGTTGAAGCATATATTTTATGTTTATACTCTGATTTTCATAAACATGCGTGGCGAATAAAGTCCTCCGACTGGTCTCGCACTCGCCTACTTCGACATCCGCTGTTATTGTCTGCCCAGTTTCTCTGCGGTTTCGTGAGCGGTCGCCTACTTCTAATCCCACTGCCATGCTTGGGAGTTATTTCGCCCTAGGGGTGTTGTGTGCAGAACTCGACTGTTATGACGGATGGTCAGAGGAGAACGGACCGGATCTTCAAACGGGGATGCACATCGCCAGAGGGGTGTGTGTGTGGTGGGTGGGTGCTAAAATCGGCTGATGAAGTTCTCGCGCACCCTCCATACCTATTCCGGGAAAAACACGGACTGGGGCGGGGGGAGGAAGTGGTGACGGGGGGGGGGGTAACGGTGCATGATAAATGCAACTTAGACGTTGTTTACGGTGATTCGAATGTATCTGACAAGACGTACCTTTTTAGCGGAAACTCTGCGTTGCATATTTTACTTGAGGAAAGCCCGTGGGCTGCGTGACTTCCTAATACGGGCATTGGGATGTATATGCGGGCCGGATTTCATACCCACACCCAAAACCAAAACATTCTACTTGGAACGACTTTCCCACTTGCTAGACTACCACAACTGCATTTATTTTCCAGATCTCATCGACGAGACTGTCAGATTTCTACATGTACACAAGGATAAGGGTGAGGTAAGTCGCTCTGAGGATATTTGCAGTCGTCCTTTTGCAAAATGGTAGTTCCTTACCAACTCCGTTAAAGGTGCGAAGCTGTTGTCGAGGTCTGATGGTCACTGGTTTAGATTGTGTCCCATTACCTTGGTTCACGAACAGTTCGTAGGGCGACCGTTTACTCACAAAGGCCCCGAAAAGACAACACTGAGTCATATGCAACCACTTTACTGCTTAGACAATTCGACCTGAACATAATGTGCCAACCCGAGTTCCCCGTTAGTTAGTGAACAACTAGGGCTAAATTCAAAATGCTATAGTCTATTACCACGCATGATCCCCGTGTACCACGAGGACCTTACTGTGTCAGTAAGTTGATTTGAAAGTTGTTCAAATGGACCAAAAAACTGTCCACACTGCCACAGCACACATGGATCACGCATCGGTCTGATCGGTCATTTGTGGATAGAGCACACAGGAACTGAGTAAGCGGTGCTAGTGCCAACACCACAAATGTTATTACACCTAACATCCCCAGTATACCTGTCATTTGCGCCGCCACTCATACACTTACTACTACTACTACTACTACTACTACTACTACTACTACCACCGCCAGTGACCTTGATATAAAAATAAATGTAACGGCTCAGATACCGAACTGCTTATAAAAGCCACAAGCACTGATTAAGAAATGGTGAGGGCGTGCACAAAGTTGAAACATCAACTTTGTTCATCTGATTGGATCTGCATAAACGGGGACGATAGAGAAGGCTACACGACTCAGCCTGCACTCGTCTGCTATAAATGCAATCCGGCTTCTATGTTGTCTCCTGGGTGGTCGCCTACTCCTGACCCCACCGCCATGTTTTGGGTGATATGTTGGTCTAGGTGTAAGCCCTAGCCCGTTGATGTGTGCAGAACTCGGCTGTTATGACGGATGGTCTGAGGAGAAGGGACCGGATCTTCAAACGGGGATGCGTATCGTCAGAGGTGTGTGTGTGTGTGTGGTGGGTGGGTGCGTGGGTGTTAAAATCGGCTAATGAAGTTATCGCGTACCTTACATACTTATACCGGAAAACACGAACTGGGGCGGGAGGGAGATAGTAACGGCGCATGCTGAATGCAAATTAGACGTTGTTTACGGTGATTCAAATGCACCTGAGAAGACGCATTTTTTTAGCGGAAACTCTGCGCTGTATATTTTACTTGGGGAAAGCCCTGGGGGCTGTGTGGCTTCCTAAAAAAGGATTTGGGATGTATGTGCGTGCGTGCAGGACCTCATACCCACACCCAAAAGCAAAACATTCTGCTTGGAGCGAATATCCCACGTGCTAGACTTCAAAGAAGGTATTCAAGTAGAAGAATACTTCTGTACTCCATATTATTGCCAGGTTAGTTAGTTTGCTCCTCTGATTATCTCTCATTCCTTCGACGTCTACTTTTTTGATTTTGAGTATAAAGGCTCTGATGCTTCGTGGGATTCGACGATTAACAGGACTAAATCCATTATGATTTCTATTAGTTCTGCCCATTCCGCCTGAGCTTTTTTAATATCATCAGCACGCCTTTTTCCATTATTCCATGCTCTCTCAAATCCAGTCTAATTATGAATTTTATTGTTTTGAACTCGCAATTTCACTTTTTGAACAACTGCATGATTGTAAATACCAGTTTGTGTTTCAGGCTATAATTCTGTCAAGGAACTGGCGCATTCTATGTCGCCACTTTCCGCCTTTACTTGACCGCGATACCTTTTTACTTTCCCATAGGCACTGGGAAATTTTCCAACAAATTCGATTGGCCGTCCGCTTACGCCGCTTAATGGCATCTTTAAGTTGCCAGTAGTTAGCCCGTCATCGGTGGTAAGGGCATTCGTGTGGTCTAGCTCCCAAACACAACAATTAATAGAGGAGTATCTTTGTCTTACCTTGGACGTAATCTTTGAGGCCTCTTTTCTAATCATTTTTATTATTTAATGATTATTGCTTGTTAATTAAAACATTACCGTCTCGTCTTTTTCCTTCTCCTTTTCCCTTTAACATTTTAAATACCCGTCTTTGATTTTCGGCAGTCCACTACTGTCAAACTACTAATATGAGCCCCAATGATATTAATACCCTGTCTTAACAGCACTTCCTTTGTCCAGCCTTGGATAAAAGGTAAAAACAGACCTCCGATTGCGCTGCAAGGTTAAACAGCAGAATACTTTGCTGACTACTCTACGGGAAAAGCAAAGACAAAGAAGCGTTTCGAATGGCAACCTTTGATTTGCATACCATTGCCCACCAGGCGTGGTGCAGCTCCAGTTCAGGAATGCCCGGAGCTCTCCTCTCGCCGGATGATCCATTCTAGCATAAAGCCGATTTCTGACATTGCGTTGACTGTAATGGGCCATCTGCCGCTAGGTGAGTGTTATTCACTTATTTATCCTGACGGACCTGTTCTCTCCAAGAACTTTAGATGAGGACCTCCAGACGAGTCATAAACGCAATCACGGCAGATCGGTGACCTTCAGTTGAGGTGACTTTTACGACACTTGCCACAAGGCGGATGTTCTGCGTATTCAGCATAAAGTAAGTCAGATAATCTGGCAGTATTGGAATACCAGGCACATGAGACTGACTGTAGACAGACTGCTGCTATGAAGGGTGGAAGCGCGTTGCGCAGTACTCGTACATCCTAAGACACTAACCGTCATCCATGCCTGCAAAGTATGATAAAATGACCTCGTGTACTTGCATGTATTTCTCATGGATTGGATATTTGTTAAAGTGAGGTAAGAGGACGTGCAGAGCTTCAGCTTACATAAATTGTCAGAGCCACTACTTGTCAGGCAGGAATCCGCATGTTATTATCGCCACAAAGGACGCCTCTGTGGAGTATTAATGCCGAATTGCAGCTTTGTACGCCATCGAAAAGCGACATCAACGTAGCACGCACATATGCTCCCAAGCCTGTCGTAGCGTTATCTGTTCTCAAAAGTTTTTTCGAATGACCAACAAAGAACGGTCGGTCCGAAAAATCTACACCGATTTGGAATCGTACCTGTCACTTCTGCTTGATAAAGGGATTTAATCTTTGTTTCCATTTATCCCATCAACATGCCTCAGTATAAGCTGCATAGATTGGGCAGAGTTCAGCAAATTCCGATCAGCGTTTACGCATGCAACACATATAGTCAGCCAGGTGGTTAACTGGGATCTCCGTAGGTGTGACCATTTTAGCTGAAAAACCATAAGCCCAGAAGACAGACAGAGTTGTGCGACTCTCGGGTAGGAGCAATCCATTCGTGGATCTTAAGCCAGCAGACAGTATTGTGCGGAGAGATTGCAATAACTGACAATGCTGTTCAAAAGTTCTCTGTTGGCATGTCGATTGGGGTCGTAAAGAGGAGCAGGACGAAATAGTGTATCGCAAAACCATTTGCTCTGTCTTTGTTTGGGTAGACGAATCAGCGTGGGAAGGGGAAAGTGCAGTCGGACGCCGTGAACAACACCCAGGATTCCCCTACATATCCTCCTAACTGAAGACAGGACAGGAAACAGTGGAATAAAGGGCCTATTCGCTCAAAAACCTGTTTCTGGGATTTAGGCAGGCCAGGAGAACGCAAGTAGAGTGCACATCGAACGATGTGGAGAAATGGTAGCAGGTCAGATGGTGTTCTAGTTTGTAGATTCGTTAGCAATTATGAGGGACCGCTGTCCGGGGCAATGTGAGGAAAATCTTGGACAGACGGTTTGACCTACAGGTGGAAGCAAGAAGCAGAGGGGCACTATGACTGGGAATCTAATCACCGATTCGATGAAGATAGCCGAGTCGATGGCAGAAAGGGAGAAAGTTAAACTGAGAGCCGACCCAGGGTTTGACTAGATTGGAATGCATAAATCCACCAAAATGATATGGGTTTTCTGAGGACATGAATCTGCATTTGCAGGCTTGTCTTCATACATCCCTTAACTGAGAATTCGGAATACATGAACTTACGTCGTGACCAACTCGCCAGCTAAGAATGCGTCGAAATTGCCTGGAGGTATCTGGTTGACGAAATGGCTGACTTACCTTTTAGACATGAAATAATGAACTATTTATTTTACTACTGCTTGTCATGTGATTGGTTGTGCAACGGATCGCGTTAGTCTCCAAAGCCTGAACGCCCTGTTCCTTACCCAATATCCTCCCCGCCAATGCAAAATTTTAAGTCATATATGTTGTTTGGGACAACTTCACATTCACACTGTGAAACTGCGGTTTCTGTCAAACGTTTTAATTTTTGACACACCAGGATAGTACGTTGTGGGTTTTGATCTCCGACATTGACCCCATCGTGACCGTTTGCACATAATCAACGCCGCCACGGTAGGAGAAATAACCTGTCTGAATCTGTGCAACCATGACGGACGGTTCATCACCACGTCTGGAATCTGTTCGAGGCTGAGGTGACTCTGTTGTGTTATCTTGCTTTTACATGACCATTAGGTAAAACGCATATTATGGGTATCAGAAACTCTTCCGACGTCATGAGTAATGACTTTTGAGCTTTTACCTGCTGTTGAACCAGAAGTGCCATCGGCTAACTGCAGCGATTTAGGTTCGCTCCACCAGAAGGCAGCAGCCCTTCTGCATGAGAAGAATGCTCGAGCCGCTTTGTCACCACTGGGAATAATTTCAAAATATGATTTTGATTACCTTCTCGCAGTGAATAAACAGACTTTTCTCATGCGATGACTCTTTTGTGCACTTCATCTGTCTTTAAGAAAAACTGAGTTAGAACCGACCAAAACAACAGTGCCTAGGACGATGAGAGGTGGTGGGAGGGACTGCGCTTCGTCGTTACTGCGGCAGTCAGGGTAGATTTGCCGCGAGTTCTTCGGTAGACAGTCATTTCCGTGTCAGTCAGCACCAGGTGAGCTGCCTATACAGTCTCAAGTCAGCCATAAAGTGGCTCCTTTGGAGAAAGGCTTGCAGTCAGGCTTTCTAAACTTGGCAGTATTTTCCGCCCTCATTTGCATGTTGGGTGGGGAAGTGGAGATTCAAGCATGTTATACTTACCCATCAATTTGATTGTTCTCCCATCAAAAGAAGACCTCCAACTAGCCCCTACTTCCCAACATCAAATGTGAGCCCCAAGGATCAATTCAACGTCCGTCTCGGTGCAAACCATTGAATCGCTGCAGCTGCCTTTTAAACGGGAATATCATCTTCCAAATTCGGGCATTTCGATTCTCATCTGTTAGCTCATTCGCAGTGCCGTAAGGTCGAAGGCGATGTCAGCCGTGTCCGTTGTTAGATCTGACGAGAGGGCTCGTGGACAAATTCCGCATACCAATAGAAACGAAGAGACGATTTCCAGGAAGTGGTCTTGAAGATGGAGACACTATCGCTAGGGCAAGAGTTTCATTAGCCTGACGTTTCGTACTCCTGCTCGAACGCTTCCGACTTCGTGAGAAATGACTTGTGAGAGTCTGAACTGCTGCTCAATCATAAGTGCTGCTGGCTAACCGCAGCTGTGTAGGCCTGCTCCATCGGGATATAGCTGCCCTTCTGTATAGGAATAATGCTGTAGACACTATACGAGCGTACGATATTTTTAAGGGATGAGGGTGGGTAACTTCGCGCTGTGAATTAAATACATAAGATTCCTAACTGCAGGCTCACAAACAACGGTGCACTCAGCAGAACAATTCCTTGACAAAATAAGGGCAGTCACGATCGAACCGAATGAAAGGATGGTGTCTTTTGACGTCGTCTCACTATTCACGTCCATACCACAGGCCCTTGCGGTCGAAACGCTCAGTGACCTGCTACGTCAAAATTACGACGGGGGCTATGGCCAGCCCACAGCTCAGGATCTCATAGAACTCATGGGGCTCTGCCTCAAGACATTCTTTACCTTCGAAGGGACCACATACGAGCAGATCAAGGGCACACAAATGAGTTTACCAATCTCCGGACGCATTGCCGAGGCGGTTCTACAAAAACTCGAGAGACGACTATTCGAGGAGTACAAACCCAAGTTTTGGGCACGCTACGTTGATGATACCTTCGTAATCATAGACCAGGATAAAATCAACTACTATGCGGGAGTACTGAACTCAATCATCCCCGATCTACAGTTCACGATGGAATAGGAAGTAGAGGACAAACTTCCATTCTTGGATGTTCTCGTCTGCCGCCAACCAAATGGCGAACTAGAGACGTCGATCTACAGAAAACCGACGAACACGCTGCAAATTCTCAGCTACAACAGCAACCACCCGCCACGACACAAACGAAGCTGTGTCCGCACGCTGTACCGACGGGTGGAAACTCATTGCAGCACGCCAGCCGCCAAACTGGATGAGATAAAGCTCCTCCGAGAACTTTTCAGAGCCAGTGGCTATCCGCGGGCATTCATTGAACGAAGCCGGAGGTAGCCAAAGAAACGGAACGAGGAGCATAGTCAGCCAAACTCATGGCGGAGCATTCCGTACATTAAAGGGGTCTCCGAAGTCGTGGCTCGATCACTCGCGCCACTCGGAATAGGTGTTGCCCACAGGCCTGACTCAACAATCCGCCGGCAAGTGATGCGGCCGAAAGATCCGATCCCTAAGCAGGAGATGTCGGCCGTTGTTTACCGACTTCAATGCAGCTGCGGAAGTTGCAACTACGTTGGGGAAACCGGCCGACGGCTGCGAACGCGAATGCACGAGCATAAGTTGGCCGTGCGAAGGTTGGACCCAAAGTCGGAGGTAGCAACCCATGCCGCGCAAATGGGACACATCTTCAACTTTGACGCCGTTAAGATTGTGGGCCGGGGCAGCGATCACACAGCAAGGCAATTGCAAGAATCCTGGATGTCCACCGACCGCTCTGTCAACCGCCACATCAATTTGCCTCCCCCTTATCTGACTTTACGAACCTTCTTAGCGGCGGACAGTCACGGCGCGGGACAATCGGGGCCGTCAGTCATCACCGCGGCCGACAGGGGCGATTCAGGTCACGGTGACATGCGGGTTGGATGCAGCCACACAGGCGGCATTGGCGGATCACGCATTGGACAAAGGGCGCCATAATAAGGAGTGCTGTGCACAGGACCTCCCAGTCCCTGAAGATGGGTAGACGAATAAACTACCCGAAACGTCGGATCTCAAATAAACCCCTCCCGGTGAACGCCCCCTCTTCTTTTGATATGCCACCTGGGAGTCGGATTTTCACTACTATTGACATAGACCTTCGTTCTGTTGGTTTGAAGTCTCACGCATTTAGCCTTAAGTCACTGGCCCGCTGTCCTATCGGTTGCGATCGAGTGTAATAACAATGGTATATGGAGCACCCGCCGATCGCATTGTTGACGTTTCGGAGAACGTGGTCATGTCTCCATAGTGAAATTGTGTGATGTCAAAAATCGACCAGAAATTTAAATGACTGGCCAAGCTAGGTGACCCTGAACTGATCTATATTTTTTTATGCTTTTTCTACTTTATCCTCTCAAAATATGTTTGAAGGACTTGATAACTGCTCGGATTACGCTAAGGACGAGGCAGAAAAGAAGAAAAAAAGATCAGTTCAAGACCAAGGAGATCAGGCAGTCTTTTAAAGTTCTGCCAATTTTCGGCGCTAAGTGCTTTGTCAATGGCGAGCTGATCAAATTCTCCGAACCGTCAGCAACATAGCAACTTGGGCTGTCCGCTCTTCCCCTTATCCCTCTGCACCACCCCTTATGCTGCCTTCTGGCTATTCCCTTCCCCCACCCTTTGTCCCTACATCCCGTCAACTCACTGCTCCCCGTGCGTTCTATGCTTCTAACTGTAGCCTCCTCCTACCCCTCCTCCTCCTCCTCCTCTTTCTCCACTACGTATACTGAAGCATGCACTCCTTATGTTCCTCCCGTCTGTATCGCACGCAGTGGTCGCCGTGTTCAGTTTCCTTACCGTTGGGCGTGAACACTACCTTCTTCGTCACTACGCGCTGCCTTCGGTCAAGACGGGAAACCGCAAGTACGTTACTTCGGAAACTGACAATATTGTGACAATCACAGATCCATCTCGCTACTAAACGCTGCAAGCGAAATCTTTGCTCGAGTTCTCGCCAGCCATATGCACACGCACTTGGAGCAGGGACTTCTTCCAGAAATGCTATATGGATTTCGCCGAAGCCGCTGACCTTCGATACAGTCAACTACGAAAAACTTTGGTAGATAATTACGAAATTTGGATGCCCAAACCGTACGCCAATTTTGCGATGGGATTATGACTCGCGTAACGGTAAACGATGCAACTTGAGAAACATTCGCAGTGACCAGTAGGGTGGAGCAGGCTGTGTACTTGCTCTCACCCTACTCAATCTCATGTTCTCCGCAATGCCGGCGGAGGCCTACGGAGAGGAGTAGATGGAGACAGACATCAACTTTCAAATGGACTGAAAACTGTTCAGCATTCGTCGCCCTAAGGCATCTCCGAGAATATCCATGATCAGCGTACATTATCTAGTACTTTTTTTGTTCTCGTGAGATATCCTGGACGCAACAGCGTTTTTCGACGAACATTTTTTCTTGATTGATTTATTTGAAAGGGGGAAGTATAAGTTACTATCGTTGGAACAAAAGCCTTATCTGTCCGATGATTCGGATTCGTACTCGAATCGACCTTCTGAGACAACAATAGATACGGTTTCTCCGACGTAGTTCCTTTGTCCGTAACTGATTGCGGAGGCTGTTGGCCGCCCTCTCGAACCACTTGGTGTTGGAGTTGGACGCAGACCAGAGGCAACCATCAGGCGTCAGGTAATGAAAACACTAAACCAGTTGCCGCGACAAGAAACGTCTGGAGTCGTTTATAGGATCTGGTGCAGTTGTGGGCAAAGCAACTACGTCGGAAAAATCGGAAGACAGCTCCGAACGCGAATGGCTGCACACGCTGCAGCCGTGCGAAGAAATGACGCCAGCTTTCAAGCTGCGGCTCATTCGACGAGATCCGCCCACACATTCAACTTTTACAAGGCCGAAATTCTCGCAAGATGTGATAACCGCGTGAGCCGGGAGCTGCTTGAGTGATGGTTTACTGGGAGTTTATTAACAAGTGCAATGATCTTCCCATTCAATACTCGGTGCTGAGACTTCGCCTAAGCGGAGTAATTAGCCAAGCAGGGAGCACACGAGCGAACACTGTTACCAATGCCAGGGTCGGTGAGTCAGATCGTCGAGCGATCATCACGCCAACATCCAACGCACGTGATGAAATTGCAGGAATTAACGACGCGAATGTCGGCCATCAAAAGGTCATCACACTAAGTGCAACAATCCTTAATAAAGAGGGGAGCCGCGCATATTCATAGATTTACGGTAGCATGACGACTGCATCCTACAAATACTGCAGTCCCTTGTGCATGAGCCGCCCGTACCTGCTGGTTCCTCTGATGATGGGTTCGAGCAGGAATCAGAAACGACAGGCAAATCAAACCCCTATCTCTGAGATCGTATCCCCTATTTCACGACTGCGTCTGGGACTCTTCTGTTTGCATCTATTGGCATGCTCTGAAATGCTAGGCAAGGACTACAAATGTGGCATATTAGTTGCGGAATGTTACAATTGATATCCAGGTGAACTTGCGACCCAATTTACACGAATTTTAATGCATTCAAGCACATGTCAGATTAGTTTGCGTTCGACATGATATACGTAGTTTAAGCAAACAAGTAAGAAGTGCGGTGGGAATATGTAAGGTATAATCGGTCATAAAAGTTTAAATTCAGGCAAAAGACATAAGTTCATGGAGGAGGGACCAACAGAGGACTAATTTTAAAATTCGACTTTTCATATGCATATCTACGTATTAACTTTTTAGGGAAATAGTGTTCTTTGAAAAAGAGTTGATTTGTGGTCATTGATCTGCAACAGTCGTCGTCTGAAGGCGTCCTCAAGGGTATGCGAGACCCGCCTCTTCGACTTACTCTTCGCAGGTGACTGTGCGCTAAATACCACAACAGAAGTCGACACTAACTGGAGCGTGGCCTCCTCGATTCCGGTTGTTTTGGCTTCGAACTGACTATCATCACGGAGAAGAAAGTAGTCATGCACCGACCATGTGCGATTTACTCCATATCACAGTTAATGGAAAAAAATTGCACCAGAGGAAAGTTTCATGTACCTTGAAATTTCAGTGTCAAGGAATACAGAAAGTGACAAAAAAGTGGTCAATCGGATATCCAAAGCCAGTCAGACACTCAGCCATTTGAAGGTCTTCGTATGGAACTACCACGAACTCCGACTCAACGCGAAACTCAATATGTACAAAGCAGACGGCGACATGGATCGTTTACGTCAGTCATATCAACCACTGCGTCGCCAACCAATTCCGCATCATCTACATCTGGGGAATACTAAAGCTGAGGAAGCAAAACTGGACGCCTTACACGAAAGTCTTAATAAGGACCGGAATTCTCAGCATCCACGGTAGGCTGATGGAACTGCAACTGGGATAGCGTAGCCTCTTCGTGAGGTTGGACGCGGACGCCTGCCTAGCGACACTTCTACGATAATGTCGCAATATTTGCTCGTCCGCATAGAGAAGAAATTGACGCTACAGCGACATCCTCAAAAAATATCTCAGTCAACTCCAAATCAACCCGGAGACCTGTGAGGACATTGTTCAGATTCTACCGGCCTGAAGAAAAGCAGTGGAGACTGGAGCATCAATATACTAAGCCACTCAGATCGTCGTTGCCAGAGTCAAAAGAGCAGCTCGCAAGTCTCGCCAGCCCCCGCATACAACGCCGACACCCAACCCTTCCCAACGTGATCACACTGCCAATAAACGCTCAGCGCACGAATCGGCCTGCCAGACCTCTCCGGATCCACTGCGACATCAACCCGACAACTCAGATTGCTGCCTCCGCAAGCGCCCTCATCTACACTCCCATACCCACCCCCCACGACTGCGACCACCATCAGTGATCACATTTCGGATGCCCGCCATCGTCGCCGACGACGGCGACTACCACCTCTCAAACCTCCAACAGCGGTAAGAAAACTTGAAGAAGGAGACACGATCGCCAGGACAAGAGCTTTATTAACCTGACGTTTCGGATCCCTACTCGAATCCATCATCAGAGACAAAAAAGCAGAAACGGGTGGTTGCTGCACAAGGGGCTGCGGTATTTATAGGATGCAGTTGCCATGCTACCGCATACCTATGAACATTCACGGCTCCCTCCTTCATCCGAGATCGTCGCACGTGGTGTGATCACTGCTTGATGGCCGACATTCGAGTCGAGCACAGTGATCACACCACGTGCGACGATCTCGGATGAAGAGGGAAGCCGTGAATGTTCAGAGGTATGCGGTAGCATGGCTACGGCATCCTATAAATACCGCAGCCCCTTGTGCAGCAACCATCCGTTTCTGCTTTTTTGTCTCTGATGATAGATTCGAATAGGGATCCGAAACGTCAGGCTAATAAAGCTCTTGTCCCGGCGATCGTGGCTCCTTCTTAAAGACTACTTCCTGGGTTTCGTCTCTTCGCTTCTATTGGTAAGAAAACTGCCGAAGCTTGGTCAGTCGTAATCACCATCACGACCACCACCGCCGCCGCCGCCGCCGCCGCCGCCGCCACCGCCGCCGCCGCCGCCACCGCCGCCGCCGCCGCCGCCGCCACCACCACCACCAACACCACTAGCGGCAACAGCAGCAGCATCGACGTGGACTTGATTCAAGTGTGTCTTAATTGCGATTGTACTTTCACATGACATATCAGCCTGGTTGTTAATTGTGATTTTATCGTGCGGCCACTGGCTGATCACTACCTGGGGCACCAACATACACCCCTCGCCGTCCATTTAACTGCCCACACTGCCGACACATATCCAGCCACCGCACGAGACTACTGGGCCATATGCACATGTACAAAAACCGATCAAACTGCGCCACCACACCTCTCCACAATGGCTCCTTCTTAATGCGGCCTTTGCGGCACTGGCATTCAGTTGGGATCCACGCCACCCCTTGCTTCCTTTTTGTGTGAAACCCTTGTTCTTTACGTGCAGACCAAGGGGTATGGTAGCACGTCTCAGCCCGGGTTCGTACCACACCAGCTACGTGCGTCCGAACCCTTCTCTGATCTTGTTGCCATTATCACCGGGTCCAGAAGGGTGAATGGCAAGAGAAGGCAGTGGATACTACGCAAATCTACTACCACTATAGACCAAGTCTCGTGCAAGGCACTGGGCGTGTGCCCACGACTTAAACCGTCGGTATTGACGGCCGAGCTGTCGTTATGTTGCTTACCTGCCGGTCGCTTGCCTTGTGATTTCCTCCGAGTTTGCAGCCGAAATGTCATCTTGGAGGCAGTGGTCCATCCAGCTGTCTGCGTCGCAGATCGACTTAGTCAGCAGCACGTCCTCTCAATCTTGCCTTCGCACCAGAACGAAGCACAGCAGGAGGCAGCGCCGCAAGTGAGATTAGATTCACCAGCGTTTGACGGCGGATGCCGGAGTTGGTGAGGAGGAGACGCAGAACTGTGAGGCCGTTGCAGCTCCTGATTCCGTTGGAATCCAGCACTCCCTCCTAGACAACGTGGTCTGCCTCGACGCGGACGTCAAAGTTACCAAAGTTAATCAATTTGTCAGCCTTTGGTACAGTGGCCAGGAGTGCGACTTTTTCCTCACCCCGTCGAAGCTGGCCATTGTGGGGACATAGATTCCGACGACAGTAGTGAAGATAGGTACCCGTAGAGGCCGGCGCAAACTGCGGCATACACGCGCAACATGTTGTCGACGAAACCGGTAGGGGGAACAAATGCCGATGTAATTTAGCCCAGCTGATGCCAACATGATTGCGCTGGTGGAGTCAGTCCTCAGCCAGCCGGGAGAAAAAACCCTTTTTGACACCAAGTATCGTCGCTCCTCACGTCTCGCAGACCATACTGTACCTCCAAAGTCAAAGGTGATGCAATAAGAGAGTTTAGGGCAGACAGGAACCTCGTTATTGTGCCTGCGGAGAAGAGCATTTGCGAAGGAACAAACTGACTTCAGAAGGCAAATTCTTGTTGTAGGATCGTCAGTCCCGTTTCCCATGCGTAACAAACTCCGTAACGCGGTATTGTCAGCATAAGTTATTTTTTGAAAGTTGCGCACTGTTTTCGACACGTTTTCAGTCACCTTCCGAGTCTTCATGCATAACAGGGTTGCAGGTTGGGTGGGGTGGTCTGATTTAATGACTTACATAAATGACGCCTACTGCTAGGGCTATTTAAGTAAGGCGGGATCAATTAGGTGGGCCAAGATGCTTGTGATGAGTGTGGAAGGCACGTGAGGCATTCAGACATTCTGGAAGTAACACCCAGTCGTTGACGTCGGGTGGGCTTTTGTTTGGCACGAGAGGATTGTTTACGTAGAGTGTAGGGATGCTGGCGACTTCCCGTTAGCGATTTCCCGTCGATAGTTACTAGGTCAGCGCAAGCGTTTGGCTCATTGTAATGTAGGTTAATAATTGTTGGCTAAAGTGTGGGCCATACAGCCGGGTGGGTTTAGATAAACAGGAGATAGTAAGTTCACACAAAAGGTAAGCAGATAAGTCGGCTGAGAAATTGGCACAGTAAATGCGTACGTACCCCTTGTGGAGCCGAGTGCAAACGATGCATGCAATTTTCGAAACAGCCAGACAATCGTGAATGTGCGGAGCTTGCAAGGGAAGAGACGTTTTGACGGTCAAAGACCAAATACGTTGACAAGAAGATCGAACTTTCGTTCTTCAGTCAGTATTTACTGCTGCGGGATTTGGTGTCTCAAAACCACCACTAGGTATGAGGAGGAGGAGGAGAAGACAATGCTTGCTGTATTCCAACCAGACGTTGTTTTCGGTGATATGAATAGATCTCGGCACTGCCTATTTGTTTAATGCAAAGCCTGAATATGGTATTTTGGCTGGAAACAGTCCGATGCCGCTAGGTGCATTAAAACCGGCACTACAAAACAAGTGGACAAAATTTTTATACTACTACTTTTGCTACTACCATTACCATTACTATTAAAGTTACTACTAATACTACTGCTATTGCTACCACTACCACTACTACTATTACCACTACTGCCACAAGTACTGTCACTTCAACAACAACAACAACAACAACAACAACAACAACAACTACTACTACTACTACTACTACTATCACTACTATACCAATCGATTGTTTTCAAGATAAACAGGCAACTACTCAAGCGTCCTTCGGATGTTCTATTCTGCTGCCGGTGTTTCTTAAGTATTTCCAGCTGATATCATAGTATAACGATGCTTCCTTCCGATCGAATTGTGGATGACAATGTCCATCTCTTTTCGCCTGAATCAATGATCGTTAAGTTCTTCCGTCCCGTTCACTGTGGCCTCCGGCGTATCTCTTGCCGTGAGTGGGCATACTGTAGTTCACTAAAAAATGAATACTTGAGTATTGCGAATATTTAACATGGATTTTCGATAGTCTCATAAATTCGAAATGGCAAAAATCCGTATTACTTAAGTAGTCATCTTTCACAGAGTTCAATTTTTGCAGGTGGCCGGAGAGAAGCACTTCTGAAATATCGTATGTTTATTCTGCAAGGTAATCAGTATTACAATCCTACTTAAGTAATATTTCAAAATTTAAAACATAATTCAGAATTTCCGTCAACATTTCATGGAATGGCACGTCTACTGTGCTTTCAAACGAGCGTATATTTTCTCTCTTCTCTCTATAATTCTGCCGCGGAATAGATTCAAGTCGTCAAACCAGCTAACTTTACTAAAGGCACCTTATTAACATAGCCGTGGTGGCTCTAACGTGACGCGGCCAGACATCAGTCAGGAGTCAGCAGCTGGACTTCAAACGGACGTCCTTTCGGCAGGGTAAACTGCCAACATTTCTCCCTGTGTCATAAAAAAAGTACGGCTTTTTATATTCATGTTTACCTAAGTTGATATTGCCAAAGTGATGCGAGGGGAAAGGACCCAGTGGAACATGCCATCTTGCCGACATATTTGAGAGCGTTACCTGTTCATCTCGTCAGTGTATTTGTCGCACGAGACTGGAAAGCAAATTCAGGTTACTTCAGTCTCTCCACTCACCGCGCGAGGCGTTTGTGGCTTTACCTATACTGATCGTCAGCAGCTCAAGTGTGACTAGGGTCTGTTTAGTCGGGTCTGGCCGCAGCCAGTATGGTCATGACCCAGCACACCGCCCTTCTCACTGGTTTCATGGATCAATCGACTGCTAGTCGTTCATTTTCATGAGGAATTCTTCCTCTTTTATGCCAGGCGTGCCGACGGGGAGCCATTTGCATGACTGACTGACAGCTGTCCACCTCCTATAACTTTACACCAACCCGCACGCAAAAGCAATCGATATCGCAGACACTCAGTTACTAATGCATGATATCCACCATTCGACCATCGCAGATGACGTCCACTTAGTGCCCCGTGAGGTAAGCCTACAGTAGGTGGGCTAACTTATGAAATGTCAACCGAAATTCCGAAAGGCGTTTTTGTTTCGGAAAGATTAATTAAGTAGGGTTTTAAGAATAGTCAGCCTGCAACATAATTCTATAATATTTCAGTTACCTCAGGATGCCGGCTTTCGAATGAACTTCCTTCCGACTGCATGCAAAAGCTACACTCTAGAAAAATGACTACTTAAATAGCATGCATTTTTCTCATTGATTTTCGACGACCCTAAGAGTTCAGTTATATTTTATAAAAAATGCAAAGATATATTCATTCTCTTGCTCATTCGGTAGACAAATACGTCTTCGTCTAATTTTATACTCAAAGGAAGGATATGATTTTGTTTCAAAAAGTTTCTTATTGCGGGACTTTTTAATACCGTGACATGGCCGTTCATAAAACGTCATGTCTCTGTAATTAACAGCGTGGCTTTTAAATTTAACAATGTGGAAATAATCCACTACTTTATTTTATGAACCCTTTATGGTCCTCCTTTATTACCGTAGAGAAATGTGTGTTTTTCCGTATGCGGAAAATGTACGGCTTGTAGTTTGGAAACCCTAAATCCAAATATGACGGTAGAGCGTGTACAAAATTAGTCGGGAATTGGAAACGGTTTTTTAAAACCGAATTATGTCCCGCCTTCGAGTATAAAATCAGAAGAAGGCGTAATGATCTACCGAAGGACCAAATGACGTGATCGAAACAGAAGGGCATCCAATGGTTATTTCGTCTTTCTGTGCTTCGCTCATCAACTTCATAAGCATGAAAACGCAATTACTGACACTTTGCCGGGGTGTCAGATGTAGTTAGTCAACGCAGCACCGCCTTGTAAGTTCAGGATCATACTTGAGTTAAAATGGGCGGTACGGTCATTTAAGTATGCTACAATCGGACCACATTTCTCCTCCTTCCGGCACGATCGTCTGCCCATTACCACCGGGACCATCACCTGTAATGTACATTAGGGCATTCGAGGTGTTATCTCACCGGTGGTAGCAACAGTATCGGCAACTTCAGTAAGCGTAACAAGGTCAGAGTTAGTATTACTGCCTGAGGCGCAGTGATTGTTTTAACGGTGGTTATGTGTGCATTAGTAGTAATTGGAAAAATGCATGTTGCTGATGCCAGCCGAAGTGCGACATGTAATATTGGAAATGATATTCTAAGAACAAGTGATGAGAATAGTGAGGATAGTGCAGGTGCAAGAAGCCTGGATATCTACCGACTGCTTTGTCAACCGCCACATCAATATGTCTCCCCCTTATCTGGTTTTACGGACATTCTTGTCGGAGGACAGTCACGACGCGGGACAATCGGGGTCGTCAACTATCGCCGCGGTCGACGAAGATGAGCGGGATTCAGGTCACGGTGACATGCGGGTCGGATGCAGCCACACAGGCGGCATTGGTGTGCCAGGCATCAAACAATGTGCGCCATAAAAGGAAGGCTGCTCAGTCTCTGAAGATGGGCAGAAGAAACGACTTCTCGAAACGTCAGACCTCAAATACACCTCTCCCGGTGAACGCCTCCTTTTCTTTTGAAGTGACAATAGTGTTACTAAATGCAAATCTTACAAAATTCTTAGGGATTTTAGTACGATTGGTGTCAATGGTGAATTTAGAGGTGCTAGCACGTTTTGTGGCAGCGGTAGCACTGGACTATACAGTAGTGAAACTACGAATGACCCCTGTAGCACCAAGTCTCAGCTTTCGGACTCGAAGAGGAGGCTGTCATCAGAGGTGGTGTGGGTACAACAAGTAGTCGAACAATTGATGGAAAAAAGGGGTGGTGTAGTGTCCGTGACTAGATCGGGCTTGCGTCCTTTACCTCACAGCGCGGTGACAGCGTTCGGCTTTGGCCGCGACGTGGTCAGCACCACCTGGCTGCATGCTCGTGATGGCAGGGGGGGTCGGGGGCGGGGTTGTAGGGGTGTTTTGACGTATCTGTTGACGGAGATGGTTTCAGACATCCATGTCGCCCTTAGTCCTGTTACGAACGCAAAGGACAATCCCGGACTATGGATATCAGTACAAGACAGGAGTTATGAAAGAAGTAATAATTAAATGTCGAACGACGTCCCGTTGAGCAGAGTTCCTTCCAGCCAGATAAACAAACAGGAAGTTCAAGAATTATGAACAGGTAGGTAAAAGCAAGATAGTCTGGCGCCTCGACACAGTCTCCGTACCGTCTTGTTGCTGACCAAGTCCTTACGAAGTACCAATCATGGCCTTCCTCCAGCCTGTGAGTAACGACTTGAGACAATGAGTCACCTCTTCGAACGACCCGTTTACGCCTGCTTATTTGCGAGCCGACTTGAGGTTCTTCAAAGAGGGGCAGGCATCAGGCCTGGATTTCGTCTGTCCTCGCACGCAGAATGTTAAATAGTCACAGAACCCAAACCCTGCTGTCCTCTGGCTGAATTCCGGTAACGCAGAGGACGACAGCGCTCTTCGTTTGAAAATTGGGAGATCAGAGAAGGAACGCTAACTCGGCAGCCGGGTTAACCACACACCTTTTTCACCACCAGGTAAACCAGGCCTACGTACCGAAAACATGCGATTGGTCTAGTTGCACCCCCCCCCCCCACACACCCACATACTGCCATCTGCTGTTGTATCACAAACCCTCGATCAGGTGACACTATACGTATATATAAGCAGAGCGGAAGGGGAGCAGGGCATTCAGGAAAGAATGAAACACGTAACGGAATCCTACGTTAACTGGCTACACCGGTTTGCCGACAAAATGCGGCTGACTGGTCACTGTACAGTGCGAAACCTAATCAGAGAGGCCATGGGCACATTGATCTTTGTGGCTTTTGCAACCGGTGCCGTTGCCCAGACCTATCTTACAGAGGGCGACTTCGGTCTAATGCTTGATCTGAGCGTGGGCTATGCAGCTGCCTGGATTCTCGGCAATTGTATCGCCGGTTCGGAGAGCATGACCTTCCTTAACCCCGCGTTGGGTCTTGCAAACGCCCTTGTCGGACGAATGAACTTCATCAAAATGCTCTTTTACTGGCTGGCAGAGCTAATTGGCGGTTTCCTTGGAGGATTACTCGTCATATGGATATACTGGGAGAAGATAGGAATTTTTGCTGACAAATTTGACAACGGGGAGCTCCGAATGAAAACCACGGGTAGCGTGTTGGTGGGCTCTGTTAACGCAGATCTGGTGACCCTCTTTATCGACCAACTTATTGTCGGCACCGTCTGCATAATTGGCATGATGGCGGCAATAGACAAAAATAATTGGAACCTGTCGCGCTCCCTGATTATTTTCTACGGATCTGTGTTGCAGTTTCTCAAGTACAACGACTTCTCCGTGAACACCTCCGCCAGCAGCAACCCAGCTCTCGACTTGGGACCCCGACTGGCACTACTCTGCACCGGTAAGTATCTTTACCTGAAGTGTTTGAAGGCAACCACAATAACGAAGAATCACTCCAAATCCCCACACCATGGTTTAAGAGACGGCTGTGGCATTCATATTTTATGCCGCATCTAAAAGCGTAACTTGGTTCACCAAAAGCCCGGGACGGTGAATTGAAAGAAAACAAACGGCTTATTCCTGGAAAAACGAACATGTTGTTGACAATACTTGACGGAAAACAGAACGACTATGAACTGAAAACGTTAAAAAACTAGCTTCAAAAATCTACTAAAGTAGCCAGGTCAACTAATATCCACTTCCTCTTAATGCGCTTTTGAATAAGGAATGATGAAAGCAGTAAATATATTCAGACTGTGGCTTACTGAGGGCCCTCCGGAACTTTCATTTTTGTGTTTACAAACCAGGCTTCCTCTTTTAGTAGAAACGAGGACAGGTTATTGAAATTTTTACTTAAAAGACATTCCATATGTGGTAAAATGTAGCTAAAAATAAGACGAAAATTCCCACTCCAATCTACGAAAACTATGCTGATCAGGAACTACTTACTCTATGAGAGCTCTATGTATTGGAATCCAAAATGTGCTTTGTTTCGACTGGAACACAGCATGCATTTAGAGTAGGTGGGCTAATTCATGAAATGTCAGCCGAAATTCCAAAAGGCATTTTTGTTTCGAAAATATTAATTAGGTAGTGTTGCAAAATTGAACATCTTGCAGAATAATTCTATATCACTCCAGTTACCACAGGCTGCCGGCTTTCGAACGAACTTCTTTTTGACTGCATGCAAAAACTGTACTCTCTAAAACGACTGCTTATGTAGCGTGCTTTCTTCTCATTGATTTTCGATGTCCTTAAACACATCATTATATTTCGTGGAAAACATGAATAAAGGTATCAATTGTTTTGCTCATTCGTAGAAAAGTACATCTTTCTTTAATTTTGTACTCGAAGAAAGGATTTGATTCGGTTTTCAAAAACTTTCCCGATTTCTTAAAAATTTTGAACCCGACCAACCATAACATGGGCATTCAGGGTTTCCTAACTAACAGGCCGTATATCTGCCGTGTACGGAGAGCCATACACTTATCTACAGCATCAAGTGAAGACCATATGCGTTTCGTAAAATTAAGCAGTGAATTTGAGCCATATTGTTATCTTTAAAGCCACATTGGGAAATGCAGAGACATGACGTTTTATGAACGGCCCTCTCACTGTATTAAAAAATTTCACAATTTAAAACTTTTCAAAAGCCGAATTATACCTTTCCTTCCAGTATAAAATTGGAAGAAGACGTCATTTTCTACCGAATAAGCAAAATAGTGAATATTTGTGTGCATAATTTTCATGAAATGTAATTAAATCTTTAAAAACATTGGAAATCCATGAAAAGAACTCACGCTACTTAAGTAGTCATTTTTCAGAGAGTATCGTCCTTGCATGCGGCCAAAGTGAAGTTCGTTCAAAGCCGAGATCCTGTGGTAACTGAATTATTATAGAATCATGCTGCATGGTGGCTAGTTTTACAACTGTGCGTAATTAATCTTTTCAAAACGAGAGGGCATTTCGGAATTTCAGTTGACATTTCATGAGTTAGCCCACCTACTGTACAAACCGGGTTTCCTTGTCTAGTAGAAAAAGTCCCAGGAGATTTGGACATAGCAACTGAGACCCCTTAGAGAAATTTCGATCCAGGAGACATTCCGTATTAGGTAGGATATTCCAAAAAGTAAGAAGACAACTCCCACTCCGGTCTATAAAAACTATGCTAATCAGGAAGCACTTACTCTAGACAGATCTGTTAATTCAAATTCAAAATGTGCTTTATTTCGACTGCAACGGAGTGTCTGCAAGGTTCGGAGGTTCCGGTCGTTCCATCCACCTCGAACCAACTGACTGACGACGCAAACACTTCGCCGGTATCGTTACCACAAAATTCCGGGCCATCAAGATCAAAATTTTATTACAGCATCAATGCGACTTTTTTGTACAACACAGGAAATAGCTGCGCACAGGAAATAAGATTGCTCGTAGCCTGTTATAGCACGCCTTCTAAGTAGTTTAACTGCGTTGGAATTATCAAAAAAGACCATCCGATTGCCTCGATTGTCAACAAATTAACGGCTCCAAATGTGCTTTAATTTTCAGGTTGGGGAACAAGCGCTTTTTCATATGGCAACTACGCATTCGTCGTCTTTCTCTTCACACCCTTCTTGAGTGCCATCCTGGGCACACTACTGTACGAGCTTCTGATTGGCATTCACCTCCCGGGAGCTGGTGAAAATTCCAAGAATCGAAGTCAGACGCCAAGGACTGAAAGCCCAAGTACGACTCCTCCTTCGAAGTGATTCCTCTCCTGTTCCAGATGCAAAAACGATTTTTATTTTTTTGTTATAAAGAACAAATTATTTTGCCGTCACGCACGATGCCATTTGTAAAAGCCTTATAACTTGCATAAAAACACATTATATGACGGTTACTTCCTGCTCAAGCGGATAAGTCATTTTGCAAGTGGGATCGAATGCTTGAACATTCGTCGAGGACCCTGTGGTTAGACTGTCATTCAGGATACTGTTCAACCATGCCATAGAACAGACAAGTAATTCAGAACATTAGAGATAGTACATTTTCCAAAAAAACGTCTGAACTTGGGAGGGGATCGAGATCAAGACCAAAATATAAATTTAGCAGTGTTGCAGAGAGTTCTGAGGAATCGGCTGGACTTCGAAATAACAAGCCACGTGACGAGACAGTAGCATGTGCTGCATATGGCAACTCTCACTCCCACTATCATCAGGTTTGCGTCATCGCTTCACGAAGTCACCGGCTTATCACACCCTGGAAGATGGTTGCAGGCAGATGCAAATTACCACACGCTTCATCATTTTCCTATGACTGGGTATTCAACGGCGAGGCTGGACATCAACCAGAGCAAAATAAACGGTATCAACTGAGAGCTCCAGGAGGTTTGCAAAGGATGGAGGGTTTTTCCAGCATGATGTTCTGAAAAAATTGGGTCGCCGCCTCTCTCACTTTTATCATGCACGAATTTTTATTGCTGCAACGCAGGAAAAAAACCACCGAAGTTGTACTTTGCCTTTGGTAATTGATGTTTTTAACAGATTTAACTAGACTTCTCTAACTCAACTAAGAAAATATCAGCGACCTCGATGGAATTCCAGTCCACGACAGTAGGGGGAAGACTTTAACACTGCAAACGCTCTAGCTACCTTAGTCCTGACCGAGAGCCTTGAGTTTAATCTATTTTAGGTCAAATGACAGGTTAAAGTCCGCAAAAAACACCTATTAGGTGAGTGGGCTTGGCAGTCATTGGGTGGATTCAGAATTGATTGGGCAGTAGATCCTGCTTAAACAGTCAGCATACCGTATAACCATTGAAGGATAGATCATTGGTAGCATTGTGAATGCCTGCTAGGGCTCTAGATTGAATCCAAAGTCAAAAGGGGTGAGAACGTTCTGGAAACCCTTCGTTGAACGCCCTTCCACCATGCATACAGTTTGTGATCTATCTAATAAAAGGTGTTGAAATTTACGAAAAATTGCCAATCACCCGCAGACCAGCACAAACGAATGGACCAAACTTTTGAAATAATAATGAACGACGTTGAGCGAATTGAAGAGATGAAGGAAACATTAAACTCCCTATTGCCTTGTTGAGAAATGTCATCATTTTGGAAAAAGCGGAAATAGGTGAAAGCGTCAGAAATCGTTGTAACTTGGTAAACTTGGATTTCCGATGTACAGAAAGTCTGTCTATGTAAAACACCAATGAAACAAGACCTCGCAAGTGAAACAACGTTTGAAAATAGTCCTCTAGTGAAGTTTGCAGCTAGATATCCTTCATGAAAATGTGGTATGCCAAGTACGACTGTTAGCCAATGGCTTACAGGGTGAGTACAAATTCCAACACACTAAGGGAAACACGTTTTTGCTTAATGTCGCCGATAGGGACGTCAGAGGAACAAAGGTTTTCATAAGGTCACATGATGATAGGCTGGTTGTTGACCAACAAATGTAAATTGAACTAACAGGTGCAATCTTAAACGTACCATTTTTCTATAATAAGACAGCTTTCCTTTCATCGAATTCCTTTATGGTTATTTCGGTAAGATATGGTTATGTAGCCGCACCTCATGGATACAATACTGTTGACCTACTCAATTATTTTAAGTTGTTGTGATTACGTTAACATAATGTTGCTGTGCGCTGCTGTGTGTGTTCCGTTGGCTGCCTTGTTTCTTTGTTGCCCTTTCTACCTTATTTAGCACAATGCCTGCGGTTCTTCTTGACATTCGGCCTGTCGTCTGCATCTAACTGTCGCGCTGGATGTCGCAGATTTGGGGTTTAGGACTGTGGCTGAGGGTTAGTGTTTAGAGTTAGGGTTAGGGGCTGTGGTTAGAGGTTGGGGTTAGGCTTGAGGGGTAGAGCCAGGGATTAGGGTACCTACTTCTCAACCACTCAACGCACTGCTGCGCATTCCCAATGGCTTTTAATTAGCGTATAATTACTCGACCTCGTCGGCTGTGCATTCCTCGTCCTCACCCGTAAAACCCTCTATTACCGCCAGTCCCGCATTACAGGTGGTTGGACTTTGCTTACCTCAGCTGCGTCTACGTAACCACATCTGACCGTTTCTTCAGGTGTTGGGGCACGACATATTCCCAATCATCCCTGAAATAGCGATGAATACTTCATTATTCTCTGTTTTCAGTCGTTTGACTATAAATGTAGATTCTTGTTTTATCTGTTTTTTGAAAAGTTCAAAATAAGTTGCTTTTTGAAAGCCTTTACCGAAACGCGTTTTTACTAAGGAAAACACGTTTTTGCTTAATGTCGCCTATAGGGACGTCAGAGAAACAAACGTTTTCATAAGGTTACCTGTTGATAGGCCGGCTAATGACTAATAAACGTAAATGGAACTGACGGATTCAATCTTTAACGTACCATTTTGTGTATAATAAGACAGCTTTCCTTCCGTCGAATTTCGTTATGGTTATTTCGGTAAGATTTGGTTATGCAGCCGCATCTAATGGACACCATACTGTTAACCTACTTAATTTTTAGGAGCTTGTGTGAGTGCGTTGGCATTGCGTTTTTGAGCGCTGCTTTGTGTGTTCCGTTGGCGGCCTTGTTTCTTCGTTGCCCTTTCTACCTTTTTGGCACAATGGAGGTGGTCCTTCTTGGCATTTAGCCTGTCATCTGCTTCTAACTGTCGCGCTGGGCGTCTCAGAATAAGGGTTTAGGGCTGTGGGTTAGGGTTGGTGTTTAGATTTAGGTTTAAGGGTTGGGTTTATATGTTAGGGTTGACGGCTTGAGTCAGGGGTTAGGGCAACTGCATCTCAACCACTCAAAGTAATGCTGTGCATTCTAAATGGCTTTTCGTTTGCATACAATTACTAGGCCTCGTCGCCAGTGCGTTCCTCGGCTTCAACTGCAAAACTCTCTATCGCCGCCGACCCCGTATTACAGGTGGCTGGGGTTTGTTTACCTCAGTTGCGGTTACACAACCACATCTGATCGTTACTTCAGGCGCTGGGACACGATATGCTCCCAGTCGTCCTTGAAATAGCGACGAACACTTCGTGATTCTCAGTTATTTCAGTCGTTTGCCATAAATGTGGATTTTGTTCTATCTGTTTATCAAAACCTTCAAAATAGGATGCTTCTTGAAAGCCTTTACCGATACAATGAATATTTAAGCATTCTATCTAAAGCAAATGGCTGTGTGGATCATATTTATACTCACCCAAAGGTGAAACCGCGTCATCGAGAAAAATAAACGTCCAGAACGTAAGCCGTCAATGTACTTAAGATCAGCTGAAAAACGTTCCCTACTAAGTTCCCTTTTTAAAAACCCTGAAATTGGATATTTTGCTGACGGATTTTTCGTGTACTTTGCCTTTTTCCAAGCTTAAGTTAAAGTATACAGTGCGACTTTTGATCGCATTTCTCGCTTCTCTGAAAATAAATGGCAATTTTTCAGTTGAAAATGGAAGAATTCAATGTTTTCTTTATATTGGAACTTTTTTCACTATATTTCCTTACTTTTGGATCCCGTTCTTTGGTTGTAAATGCCCAACAGTGCGGCTATATAAATAAACGAGGCAGAGGACCGGTCGAGCACCGGAAAGTTTGTTTCTTGTTCTAAGCTTTCGAAGTCGTGCAGGCGTCCATCGTTAGGGATAGTTGCAGCAACAGAACAAGCGACAGTTAGAGGACGAGCTGACCAGTCATTAATCGATGGCTCAGGCTCCGAGATGTCTGCTCAGGGCTCTGTACGCCGGCATCAGATCGATAAACTAATTGAGTTCTCATCTGAAACCCAGGCTTTAATCAATTCTCGGTCTGTTTCGAGCGCTCGATCAGCCTTCTTTCCTTTTACAGTGCGTGACCTATCTCATGAAATGTTGGCTGAAATTCTGAAATGCGTTTTCGATTAGAAAGGATTACTTGGTCGCAATTGTGATACTGATTATCTTAAGGCATACTCTAATATCGTTTTGGGTTTGGCAGGATGTCGGCTTTTAAATGCACTTCTTTGCAATCTCCTGTGGTAAACGTGCTCGGCAAAAAATGACTACTAAAGTAGCATGCATTTTCCCATTGATTTTCGATGGTCTTGGAAATTGAAATATATTTTATAGAAACCATAAAAAAAAAGATGCTTTGCATTAGTCAAAAAAACAGAGAATCACGTCTGCTTTATATTTTATACTTGAGAAAGGAGTATAATTAGGTTTTAAAAAGGTTCCAGTTATGAGACTTTTTAAGACCGCGATATTTTCACTCACATAGCATCGTACCTGACTGTTTACCACTGCTCCTCTTGAAATGTAAAACATGGTCCACATTCATTGCAAAATTGTATGAACTCTGCATGATATCTCTTTAATGACATAGAAAAATATGGGATTTTCTTTACGGGGAACGCATGCACCTTGTAGAGCGTAATCACTAAGCGCTAATGCAACGAATGACCAGGCTCCAAATTTTTCGGCAATTAGAAAACTTTTTTAAAACCTAATTATATTCCTTTCTTAAGTATAAAATATAAAGCAGACGTGATTCTCAGTTGGTTGACTAAATTAAAGCATATTTTTGTTTATGGTTTCTATAAAATATATTTGAATTTCCAAGACCATCGAAAATCAATGGGAAAAATGCATGCTACTTAAGAAGTCATTTGTTTACCAAGCACGCTTTCCACAGGAGATAGAAAAGAAGTGCATTTAAAAGCCGACACCCTGCCGAGTCCAAAATTTTATAAGATTATGCCACAAGATAATCAATATCACAACCACGACCAAGTAATCCTTCCTAATCGAAA